ACCCTACTCCATGTATTCAATGTATTCCATTTCAAATTTGGCTCTCAGTGTGACGCATCTGGAAGTTCTTTCTCTTTATGTTCCTATCTAAATATATGGGTCTGGTACTAAACAAATGAGATGTTGCCATGACCAGAGCTTGTTGTCATAGAAACTAAACTGTCTCCAGGGCAGTTTCATTGTTTGCTATAGATACAGTAAGGCCCTTATTCTTTTCATTCAATGTCAATCACATCGTTGTTTTTACTTTACCATGGTGACGGTGTTGAGAAAAACCATCCTCCAGTACACCAGGTTCCCTATGGATAAAGCACAGTAGGGTGGGCCTCATTTCAGCAGAGAACAAAAGACTATGTAGAAAGTTTTTAAGTCAGCTTTTTATTAACATTTTTAACTTTATAATCGATACTGACAACATGTAATTTGAGGCTTGACAAATCTTGTTCTGTAGCTGAAGCATTCTCTTATTAATTGTGTTAAGGAGATGACAAAGATGTTATGTCATGGCAATCATGAATGGCTCTGTGTGCGCCTTGTTCCTTGGAATGTCATCGAAGACAACATAGATATTGTGCACAGATTATATGTCAGAGGAAGGAAACACATGGGATATTGGCTAGCGGAAACTGGATGGGAGTTAACAAGGACAAAGGGTCTTTTAGAGGTTAATGACCAATTAAATCTATCACCAAACATTTTGGGATTTTATAACAGGCATGAAACTGATTTTATGGTGCAGTATTTCACATAATTTCATAGTGAGAGGTTATCTATTCACAAAGAAGCTAGTGTAAGGCGGCAGGTGACCTTATAGAGGTTAGAGCATTTGGCCAGTAACCGAAAGGTCGCTGGTTCGAATTGCCAAGTCGACTAGGTAAAAAATCTGTCGATGCGCCCTTGAGCAAGGCACTTAACCCTAAGTGTTCCTGTAAGTTGCTCTGGATAAGAGCGTCTGCGAAAAATGTAAAAATGTTGTGTCTAATGGCAACTGCAACTACCCCCAAGCCACAAGACTACTAAATAGCCAAACTGCTACAATAGTCAATTAATGGTACCTGAACTATCTGCACTTACTCTATCTTGCACTAGACTATATATACACACCATATTCACACTTACTTATGCAGAATGCAAAGTAACATTTAATTAAAAAGGTCCTAACCAATTACAGTTTAAAAGTCTATTTGGTTATTTAAAAAGTCTTATGGCGGTGTCTATGGTCGAATATTTCAGTCTAATTGTTTTTGCATTGATGCTGGACAGTTGTCTCTGGTTGAAGAGGACTCTGCCAGCACTGTCTCCCCTTCTCTGTGGTAGGAGATCATGTAGAGGGTGGTCGGGTTGGTGCACGTCACTGACCAATCTTCCTGCTGCTTGCTCTCTCTGTGGATGTAGTGATGGAAGGGTCAGTGAGATGTTTCTGTTTTTGTTATTATCTTGCTTGGCCTTTTCTGTACCCTATCCAGTGCAGCTTGCTGCTTCTTTGTGCAGCCCATCAGCAACACACAGGCATACTCCAGGCATGGTCGGATCAGAGGGGTGTAGATGTCAACAAGATTATCAGTGGGAAGGCCATTTCTTGCCATCACAGTCAGGAAATGTAGATACCTTGAAGCCTTTTTCACTGCCTGGTCAATGTGTTGTTCCCCACTGAGTTGGTTGTCCAGGTGGAAGCCAAGGTATTTTGTGCTTGTTACAACTGGAACAGCCTGTCCACCCAGGATTAGTGGAGCTGGTTGGGGAGGATTTTTGGAGAAGCAGATTCTTAGATTGACAGACTTCTTTCCATTAAGAAGCATGTTGTTCTCTGCCGTCCAATCCTCCAGTTGCTTTGCCTCCTCTTCCATTAAGTTGTCCTTTTCAATGTTGACTAGCCTTAGAGCACGGGACAGCCCAATGTCATCGGTGTAGCCAGTGTCCAGTGTATCCTCAAAGATGACTCTCTGAGTGGAACATGTGAAGCAGGAAGAGGTAAGGCGAGACGACCCTACCCTGTGCGACCCCAGATGTTACCTCTGTCCATGAGCTGTACATTGCATTTGCCATCACCCTCTGTGTTGTCCCTGTTGTATAGCTGTGAAGCCAGGTGAGTAGCCTTGGACATAGACCCAGACTGGCCAGATGCTGGAAGAGTTTAGCATGGTCGACACGATCGAAAGCCTTTGACATGTCCGCCAGCAGAACCTCAACCATTGTCGGTTGCTTTGAGTCAGTCTCTGTAAGCCAGGTGTTTGTGGCTCTGACCAGCGCATTTGTGGTGCTGTGTTTAGGCAAGTATGCATATTGGTTTTTGCATTCTTCAAGAGCAACTGGTATGAGCTTCTTGACAATGAGCATTTCCCGGACTTTGCCCAGACAGGATGTCAAAGAGATTGGTCTCCAATCACTTTTCTGTCCAGGACTGGGGACCTTAGGAATGGGGCAGATGTTGACGGTCTTCCACACTGTAGAGACAGAGCACAGTTGATAGGAGGTGTTAACTATTGTGATTGAGTGACCACTGGTGCTAGATCCTCTGAAAATTCCTTCAGTAACCTGGGAGGCATACCATCTGGACCACTTGCTTTCTTTGGACGGAGTCTTGAAAGAGCTTGTTTCATTTGTCCAATGTTGCTTAATTCTCCTTCCCCAACAGGCCTAGGAAGAGGAAAAACGGTGACGAATGTATTTCCTGGTCCCGCTTCAGCAAAGAACTTGTTCATGACCTCAGCAACATCGTCATTTGTCCACACCATCAATCTGTATTGTCCCTCCAGATGGTTTTGAACTACAAAGCTATTTGTTAATGAAGTCCCCCCACTCTTTTGGGTTCTTCTTTTTGAGTTCTTGCATTTCTTTTGTGTAGTAGTTGTTCTTTGTCCCTCGGATGAGCTTTTTTTTTTTTTTTTCAATTTCTCAGTTTTCCCTCATCTGTCAAATATTTTTTGCCTTTTCTTGATGGCCGCTTTTAGTTGTTCCGCCATCCATGGCTGGTACCGCACTGTTGTTGTTTTCTTTTGTATGGGCACACTATATTGTCACTCCCACACAAATCCCCACACACATTCACATACACACATACGCACACACATAACACACGCATACCGACACAACACAAACACACATACATACACATTACACACACAAGCACACTTTTACACTCATGATTTGCTGCTGCTACTCTGTTCTTTATTTTACTCTTATTATTATCTATCCTGCTGCCTAGTCACTTTACCCTGCCTTCATGTACATATATACCTCAAATACCTTATTATTAATATCTATCCTGATGCCTAGTCTCTTTACTCTGCCTTCATGTACATATCTACCTCAAATACCTTATTATTACTATCTATCCTGATGCCTAGTCACTTTACTCTGCCTTCATGTACATATCTACCTCAAATACCTTATTATACTATCTATCTATCCTGATGCCTAGTCACTTACCACTTACCTACTTATACTCCGGCCTTCATGTACATATCTACCTCAATACTATTATTACTATCTATCCTGATCTATCTGACTCTGCCTTCATTATATCTACTCAATACCTAACTATCTACCGTCCTAGCCTCACTCTGCCTCATGTACATTCTACCTCAAATACCTTATTATTCTATCTATCCGAGCCTAGTCACTTTACTCGCTTCATGTCATATCACCTCAATACCTTATTATTACTATCTATCCTGAGCCTAGTCACTTTACCTGCCTCATGTACATATCTACCTCAAATACCTTTTATTACTATCTATCCTGATGCCTAGTCCCTTTACCCTGCCTTCATGTACATATCTACCTCAAATACCTTATTATTATATCTATCCTGATGCCTATCCTTTACCTGCCTCATGTCATATCTACCTCAATACCTTTTCAATTACCTGACTATCATCCTCATGCCTAGTCACTTTACTCTCCTTCATGTCATATCTACCTCAAATACCTTATTATTACTATCTATCCTGATGCCTAGTCACTTTACTCTGCCTTCATGTACATATCTACTCAATACTTATTATTACTATATCTGATCCTATCACTTTACCCTGCCTCATGTAATATCTACCTCAATACTTTACACTATCTATCCTCACTTACCCTACCTTCATGTACATATCTACCTCAATACCTTATTATTACTATCTATCCTGATGCTAATCACTTTACCCTACCTTCATGTACATATCTACCTCAAATACCTATTATTACTATCTATCCTGAGCCTAATCACTTTACCTCTGCTCATTGATCGGTACTGGTACTTCTCGTTCTTAACTTCCCCTGTATATATCGCTCCAATTCTTTTTGTATTTTTATTTTATTACCTCTTGGTGTTGCTATTTTATTTTTAAAACTCTGCATCGTTAGGAAGGGCTCGTAAGCAAGCATTACATGGTCAAGTCTACACCAGTTGTATTCAGCGCATGTGACAAATAAATTGTATTTGATCCTTTTGTCTTTTCCTTACATGATACTCCTGGAATTACATTATGATAATTCACATTCTCAGTGGTACCACAATTTCCCTGACACATGTAAAGCTGAGGAAAATGGAAGAGTTGTGAAATTACCTAAGACATTCCTCAATAAATTGTGGTTTCATATTGATATTCAGCTTTGACTTTTGGATACATACAGTATTACATTGTGGCGCAAAATCAAAATAGCTGAGTGATTATGTACTGTATCAACCATATCCACTTGGTGTGGCTCATTTAAGTTATCTTTAGATCTATGGACTGTCTATGCCACACCATTGGAGAAGCTACAACACTCAGTAACAACAAATAAAACACCTAAATAACAACTACTGTATTGGCCGAGTACTGTCTCACAACGCCGTTGGGCTGAATTCAGAAACCTAAGAGTTTGTATGTATGGATATCTTTTAGCTACAATAAATAATAATGACATGCCACATGCCATAGAGACACCATAAGTAATTCACTTTTGAGAGGATTGACAACAACAGACATCCAGTCAGTAGAACAGCAGTGGTGATTTTTAAGGCCATGGACTCTAGCGAGACTAGCACTGCCTCTGATTCCTCTAAGCAGCTAGGTCATTCCACTGGAGAGGATGGGAGGATGAACACGCCGACAGAAGAGGTCGGCAGAGGTGGAGGGAGAGAGAGGGAAAACTCTGAGGGACACATAAAAGCTTAGATGAGGGAGGGAGGTGGAAAGTTGAGGCTGGATGTAGCGTTGTAATATCTTTCTCCCTAGTTGGCTCCTTGCGAAGCCTGTAGACAGCTCACGCTGTGAGAGCACTTTGACTGTTGTTCTGAATTGCCCTCCTACGTTGTCTCTTAGCTACTCAGGTTGCCATGGTAGACGTATAGCCAGGCTGCATATAGGAGTTGGTTCAACATTAGCTAGCTTGCAGAATCGGTGGCTAGTCTATAGGCATTAGAATGAGATAGCATACATAGGGCAAGAGTCTCGTTGAACGTCTGATTAGCTAGTAGGGTTTCAAAAGGCTCCCATCTCCAATGCCACGGTAAATTGTTCTGTGGCTCTTGCCGTCTCTACAAAGTGCAAATGAAGAGATAGAGTAAGAGAAAAACTAAAGGAGAACACATCAAGCCTCCATTTTGGGCCTTGTTCTTTCTCCCCTTCTGATTCCCTGTGGTTATTTGGAATAAAAGGCTGGTATCTTTGATGTGGTAGGGAGAGATGCAGGCAGGTGGTGAACTGGACACATTAACGAAGAAAAGGGACCCAGGGGTCTAGACACTAAGGTTTAAATTCCATTTATAGCAGGATAGACTGTGGTTGCGTCCCAAATGATACCCAATTCCCTAAATAATGCCCTACTTTTGACCAGAGCCTTATGGGGAAGCCCTAAATAGAGAATATGGTGCAATTAAATGGCACAATTTGGGACGCAAGCCAGTGTATGAGAAGACGATGTCAGTAAGCTTTGGCCATGCGAAGAAGTAGAGGAATCAGTGGAGCATGCAGTCTCATCCTCGGTAAAAGCTCAAAGCTATAGTGATGTAGAAGTTGACCCCACTGCAATGACTATGCTTTGAAACACACACAGACACACACACACACACACACACACACAGGCACCGATACACACGCACACTCACGCACACACACACACACACACACAGGCACCAATACGCATGTGCACACACACACACGCTCCAGTGAACCCTCATTAACTTCACTGAACCGTACCTAATGATTTCAAAAAGCAAATTCGTACATAACCGGTGATTTTGCAGAGGTGCTGCAATTTACTGAAACCTCTGTCGACTCTGTGATTTGTCACTGTACTTTGAGATCTATTATTTCAGAGATGCATGTTTCGTAGTCATACAGTGAGGGAAAAAAGTTTTTGATCCCCTGCTGTTTTTGTACGTTTGCCTACTGACAAAGAAATGATCAGTCTATAATTTTTATGGTAGGTTTATTTGAACAGTGAGAGACAGAATAACAACAAAAAAATAAAGAAAAACGCATGTCAAAAATGTTATAAATTGATTTGCATTTTAATGAGGGAAATAAGTATTTGACCCCCTCTCAATCAGAAAGATTTCTGGCTCCCAGGTGTCTTTTATACAGGTAATGAGCTGAGATTAGGAGCACACTCTTAAAGGGAGTGCTCCTAATCTCAGCTTGTTACCTGTATAAAAGACACCTGTCCAATCAATCAGATTCCAAACACTCCACCATGGCCAAGACCAAAGAGCTCTCCAAGGATGTCAGGGACAATATTGTAGACCTACACAAGGCTGGAATGGGCTACAAGACCATCGCCAAGCAGCTTGGTGAGAAGGTGAAAACAGTTGGTGTGATTATTCGCAAATGGAAGAAACACAAAAGAACTGTCAATCTCCCTCGGCCTGGGGCTCCATGCAAGATCTCACCTCGTGGAGTTGCAATGATCATGAGAACGGTGAGGAATCCGCCCAGAACTACACGGGAGGATCTTGTCAATGATCTCAAGGCAGCTGGGACCATAGTCACCAAGAAAACAATTGGTAACACACTATGCCAAGAAGGACTGAAATCCTGCAGCGCCCGCAAAGTCCCCCTGCTCAAGAAAGCACATATACAGGGCCGTCTGAAGTTTGCCAATGAACATCTGAATGATTCAGAGGAGAACATGGTGAAAGTGTTGTGGTCAGATGAGACCAAAATCGAGCTCTTTGGCATCAACTCAACTCGCCGTGTTTGGAGGAGGAGGAATGCTGCCTATGACCCCAAGAACACCATCCCCACCGTCAAACATGGAGGTGGAAACATTATGCTTTGGGGGTGTTTTTCTGATAAGGGGACAGGACAACTTCACTGCATCAAAGGGACGATGGACGGGGCCATGTACCGTCAAATCTTGAAAATGGGTAGTGGATGGGTATTCCAGCATGACAATGACTCAAAACACACAGCCAAGGCAACAAAGGAGTGGCTCAAGAAGAAGCACATTAAGGTCCTGGAGTGGCCTAGCCAGTCTCCAGACCTTAATCCCATAGAAAATCTGTGGAGGGAGCTGAAGGTTCGAGTTGCCAAACGTCAGCCTCGAAACCTTAATGACTTGGAGAAGATCTGCAAAGAGGAGTGGAACAAAATCCCTCCTGAGATGTGTGCAAACCTGGTGGCCAACTACAAGAAACGTCTGACCTCTGTGATTGCCAACAAGGGTTTTGCCACCAAGTACTAAGTCATGTTTTGCAGAGGGGTCAAATACTTATTTCCAAAATCAATTTATAACATTTTTGACATGTGTTTTTCTGGATTTTTTGTTGTTGTTATTCTGTCTCTCACTGTTCAAATAAACCTACCATTAAAATTATAGACTGATCATGTCTTTGTCAGTGGGCAAACGTACAAAATCAGCAGGGGATCAAATACTTTTTTCCCTCACTGTACATGGATGGCTATAGTTTTTGTTTAAAATGCCCTTTAATCATCTTTAAATATCGTGGACAGTAAGTGTCATAACCACAGGAGGATTGTGGCACCTTAATTGGGGAGGACGGGCTCGTGGTCACTGAATCAGTGGAATGGTATCAAATACATCAAACACATGGTTTTCCCCTCAGCAGCCTCCTCTGGTCATAACATAACATGTATGACATGTCGTTCACATTAGATTATATGTAATTTGTTGTAGAATTTCAATTTCAATATACAGGGTATTATATTGCAACGACAAACAAGGTGACCCCAACTCCTCTTCAGCAACACTGACCAGATCTTTCAGAAAAGTGTCAGAGTTGACCCCTTCCTTTTAAGGCTAAAACACAGGCATTAGCAATGACTCAAACACAGAGACTAGAATGTGATTCATGAGGTAGTATACTTTAATATGATATAACATGATATGATATAGCATGAGGCAATCTCTCCTGTTCTTCTTCAACAGGTGCGTCTGGTGGTGGAGATGTTGTGGCCTCTCTTCTTGTTCTTCATCCTCGTCAGGGTGAGATCAACCAATCAACCCATTTATCAGGGCGAATGTAAGTAGAACGGTCCCACTTTAAGAAAACTACAACATATAAAGGCTTTATAAAGGATGTATAAAGTATTTTAAAAATACATAGATGCTTCACAAATCATCTCAAAACTCACAAATCATTATACTCTAAATCCCCCATACTCTACAGGTGGACCGCGGGCCGGATCTGGGCCCAGAACGGGGTCAATTTTTGATCACGGGTCCCGATTTCTTTCTTTTGGAACTCAGTCGGGCTTCGACCCCTGGTATCATATGAACACACATAAGATTGCTTTAAAACTGCTAAATGTTCTCTCTGCCCCATGGCAAAATGTGTAGAATTGCAGGAAATTAGCATTAAATCTGCAAAATGTTCTCTCCGCCAACAAGAAGTGTGTGAACAGTTTAAACTGTTTGGGGCACATGGGTTGTGAGGTGGAGGTTTGTTACTACGCTGAGAAATGACAATATCCATTCGGACCTTTGCCACCTAGGATATTTGTGTGACCGGACCTTCTCAAATAGTACTTGAGTACCCCTGCTCTAAAGGGTGCATATAGAGTGACATAATAGCTCCCTCTGTATGCCAAAATGTGACATAATTCACTACATATATTCCCCCCAAAATGTCATCTAATACACTCCAATCACAACGTTTCTAATCATGAAATGCAAGCTTGTCATCACTTCCTTTCTCCATTTTCTTCTCTAACTTTGTCACCTGATAAAAATAGCAATGTCACCATGGCCCAGCAAATGTCCTACCTTCCACTGTGACACACACTGTTCAGTATCAATCTCCCTACAAACTCTCATTAGTATGGTATACATTTTAGGACACCCCTACTCCCTAGAGACATAAGTAGGGACATTTGGTATGGTGAGTAGGGATGTCCTAAAATGTATACCATACTTGTTGTGAGTTCTCCAATGAAATGTCAAATCCAACTGTCAATGTGGCCAAGGGCCTATACAAGATGGCTGCCGAGTCAGCTGATTGGTCAGGTGGTCATCAGCTGACCATATTAAGATGGCTGAGACAGAACATGCAGACACACTCCAATCAATTCACTAAATGGAAGCCATCATCTGAGGAAACTACAGCAAATATGGTGGATAAATGAAGATGGCTGTTTACAATTGAAAAAAATTGTCAGGTCCGGTCTATTTAAGGGGGTGGCTCTCCCATAGACACCAATGCAAAAGCAGCTGGGTCTGGTCTACTTTGTTCATTGACTTCCATTGAAACAGAAACAATTAGGGAGTGGGATGTCTCACTTCCTCTTCTATCTCTGACTGCAGTATGTATCTTTGAACAAAGGTGGAGCATGAGGACTTTTAGGTGCTCATGTATGAAAGGAAATTATAGCTTATTTTTCTGGTTCCAGGTCATTATCCAAATAAAGCCATGCCTTCCTCCGGGGTGCTGCCTTGGCTTCAAGGCATGATGTGTAACATAGACAACCCGTGTGTAAACCATCCCACGCCAGGAGAAGCACCAGGACAAGTCAATAACTTCAACAATTCCATGTATGTAGAAGGGCAAACATTTCAAGCCATTTCCCTACAGTGACAATTTCCAAATGTACTTTAATTTATCTTAGTTTGAGTTACATTATTCCACCTTGATAATGGTAGGTTTTAGTGATCAGTTGGCCATTGATATTATTTTAGAAAGGGAGTTATAACATATCTGAAAAATGTTATAGCTATCTTTTATTTAGCCATGCATTGTCTAAGATTTTTCATGAATAATATAACTTTTTTCAACCGTCCACTGTCCAACCAGAATTGCTGGGATGTTGATCGAGCTGCAGTCATTTCTGGCAAACAGATCCATCCTAACCAAGGTCCAGAGGCTTTCAGAGGATGTGAACCAGTGGGCTTTGATTCTACAGACATTTAACCCTGCAAACGGTACAGCATTTCAACTGTATTCAAATTGTTCAAACTGTTTTTAGGACCCTGGAAAATCATGAGCCCATTGCAGTGGTGATCTACTTTGGCACACACACTCAACCGATCCAGTACCCACTGTTCAAAACTAAGTCTTAAACCAAACCCTGAATATCTCATGAACAATAAAGCTTTTACAGCCACTGACTAATGGTTCAGCAGTAATTGGAACAGTATAATACTTTATCAGACTGACAATCACTTCACCATGGATTTGACCAAGGTCCTCTATCAACGAGAGTAGCCCATTCACGATTTGTTATTTTCCAACATCCCTCAAAAAACAATGACAACTAATTATTTATGATCCAATTTTCCGTGTGGAGTGGCAGATCGTTTATCATTATAAGTTGCTACTTTGCATTAGGCTCATTTAGCCTGATGATATTCAAATTTTCATAACACACCTAATTTGCAAATAGGCAAAAGGGGGCTCGGCCATTGTTGTGGCTCGCACAAACACCACAACGAAAACCACATTTGCATTTTGGGGTTGCGGGCTTCTAATATACAAGATTAAATCCATCAGAGATCTAAGCCACAGCTTAATTAATGTGATACGCTGTCTGAGGCAAGATGGCGAAAGGTCATTAACGCAAGTGAGAAGCAGAGGGATATCAAAGGGATATGGATGGCAGAGGTGACTGTGTTGTGCTTCTCACCGGAGATGATTAAATATGTTAGGGTGGGGACTCCAATCTCGCCCGGCAACCAAGTTCAGTCGGAGGTCAGAGCATGTTTTGGTTTCGACCTGTTAGCGTAATTTTGTCCTACCTGATTGGTGGTGTTACAATGATAATAAAAAAAAAGTATGAAAAAAATGATATATGTATGCACTAACTGTAAAGTCGCTCTGGATAAGAGCGTCTGCTAAATGACTAAAATGTAAATGTATAATGACAGAGGTAGTAGTAAGAGTATACTATTAGTAAGAGTATAGTATTGTTAATAATATAGTATTAGTAAGAGTATAGTGATAGTATGAGTATAGTATAGTATTGGGAAGAGTATAGTATAGTATTGTAAGAGTATAGTATTGTAAGAGTATAGCATTGTAAGAGTATAGTATTAGTAAGAGTAGTGTATTGGTAGGAGTATTGTATTGGTAAGAGTATAGTATTAGCAAGAGTATAGCAGTAGTATGAGTATAGTATTAGCAAGAGTATAGTATTAGTGAGAGTATAGTATTAGTAAGAGTACAGTATTAGTAAGAGTATAGTATTAGTAAGAGTATAGTATTAGTAAGATCATAGTGATAGTAAGAGTATAGTATTAGTAAGAGTATAGTATTAGTAAGATCATATTATTATTAAGAGTATAGTGATAGTATGAGTAGCTCTATCTTGAATTTTTCTAAGCATGAATTCAACATCATAGGTACACTGTCAAGTTTTTTTCTACCATATTAAAATTGATACTCAAAAAATTCATTCATAAGCAAATTTCATCATGTTCTATTTATTTACTTGAGAATACTTAACCGAACCATGTAGCCTAGTAGCTAAACATTGTGCAGGAAACTAGTACTGGGATGTATTTGGCTTGTGAGCTGCATCCTTACATTCTCATTCAAAGTGGGAGGATTGCATTCAACAATCGATTGGTTTGGATTTTGTCGCTTCGATCATGTCTATCAGTGGGAATATATAGCTAGCTGGCTAATTGTTTTTGTTTGAATGATGCATCCGGACACTGTTCCAGCTTTTTTGTTTCACCTGGCTGCTGGTTCCTGATCTTTTGAAAACATCAATTGAAGAGTCGTTTGAAGCTTGGGCTCGTAGTGAGGACAGTTGGCTACTACTCTAAACTGTGTGTGGTGAGCTTTCTGGCGCCCAGAGCTGCTGAGGCATCACCCAAGTGGGTACCATACATTGTGAAGGAGGAGCAGTCCAGTTGCTACACGAATCAGGCTGGTTCCCAGAGTAGCCCTCTACATGATCATCACCAGACTCCATCTTCATCAACCATCTCCCTGACCACCTTCCTCTGATCAAGCCATGAACTGTCCCTCTCCATCTTTGGAGGATGCATGCACTCAAAGACTTGGCCTCCATTGGTTGACCTAACTATAGCTAGGCTACTCATTATGATGTATTGGTTGACCTAACTATAGCTAGGCTACTCATGATGATGTATTGGTTGACCTAACTATAGCTAGGTTAGTCATGTTTTTTTCTTCTTTTGAAGCACTTTGAGATTGTTATGAAAAGTGCTATAGAAATGTGTAATTTATTATTATCATCAGCACAAAATGGCTGCTTAACTGACTGATACATGTTTAGCAACGATGTGCCAGCTCTCACTAAAACATTTCCACTGTTCGACCCTCCCTCGCTCTCATCCATATTGTATTGCAACATTCACCTGGAGAATACAATACAATTGAAATTCTTATTCATCAGTAGTTTATGACCCAATGCCCTCCAAAATGATGAGTAAACAAAAAAACGAAGCATAGCAAAGCACTTTGGGAAATGCTACACCTAAATACATCAGTGGGATGCTGTCAACAATAACATGATAAAGGAACATCGCCTCTTTCAGAAATATCTACCAATCTGTGATGTTTGACACTTTTTAGGGAGTATATTACATTCCATCTTTCAAAAAACTGATACAGCTCCCTCAAAAATAGTTTTCACCACAGATCCATTCTAATGTGAAAGCACGACTTGTTCTCTTCTCTCCCTTCATGTTTAAGGTCAGCTCATTCCTCTGAGAAGTATCCTAAATGACAATGAAACGTTCACCGCATATCTGAAGGAGAACTTGTTCATGCCATTGACAGTAGTCAACAGTCTGATGAACTCAAATATTCGCAAGAATGAGGTGAGTCAGCATAACGCCACACATACATTTTTTTCACGTCATAGTACTGCATTCAAAAGATGTGCAGAAAGGTCCTGAAACAACAATGCACTCTAAACAAACACAACTTTATTTGTCTAACTCTGTCTTCTTTTCTCTTAACCCCCTCGCCCACACAACACACAAACACAGACTTTTCAGCCACAGTGCAGTGGCGCTACAGCCAGTTTTGAAATGCGTTGTTCAAGGGCACAATGGTTGGAGATTGCAGTTGGGATAAGAGACGAGCAGTCCTGCACTTATTTTAGTACCCAGCTGTAGATTCAAACCAGGGACCCTCTGACTAGAGGTCTACCTCTTCAACCTCTAGGCTACTACCTACCTCCCCAAATGATTGAAAATATCACTGAATGTATTGCAAGGACATCATTTTCATCTTTGTTCTAGCCCAGCACTAACACACCTGGTTCAACTAATAAACTAATCCCCAAGCCGCTGATTAGTAAAATCAGGTGTGTTAGCCTTGGGGGTCCCCTCAGTGTGAATACTTGGGGGTCCCCCAGGAGTTGATTGAGGAACATTGCTCTACCTGGCTGAGAGCTTTGTCTTTGTGTTTGGGTGAAATGCAACTATAAGTGTGATCTATGAGCGGTCCTTCAGATGTTCCCAATTGATACCTTGCCATGTTCCAACTGATATCAGATGACGTGGAGGAAGACAATTATGTGTGCCAGGCTGTACATGCTTCACTGACAAGGGTGCTTAGATAGAATGCACAATGATTAGGAGATCACCATCTCCTCCACTCACTGTCTAATGTGTGTGTGGGCCGGGGGATGTGTGTGTCGTCTGTGCCTGTGCCTGTGAATGTGCGTTCATATGTGTAAAGTACAAAAGTAAAACACCAAGTAGGAAACTGAATCAGATAGGTTTCTTTCACTTCTGACACTCATCATATCCTTTAACCAGATGATAGGCATTTCAAGTCAAGACGACCTGAGAAATACCCTCTGCAATGGAACAACTCTTGACAGATACGTGGAATTCACCAGCGTGTCTGACAAGGAGGCCTTTCAGAATGTCAGCTGCTCCCTCACAGCACAACAGATGAGACAAGCCAGGGAAGTTTTCCTAAAAAACCTGGATACAAGGAAGATGCTTACCAACGTAAGTAATTGGAATTAGTCCTACCACTCACTGCTGTCAATTTACCTTAAAGCTGGAATCCTTAATGGGATATTACAAAAATAAAGAAGTTACTGCAAACAATTAACACTGTTTCTTCCCCGCTGACATCATTGCACACGCGATAGAACAGCAGAATATGCATACTGCTCGATGCAATAACAAAGGTGCTGGGCCGGACAGTGGCACTGTTTCCCGTAATGCAGATTCCGTCTTCAATTGTATTGTTTGTTTCACTGTGAGATACAGTACATGTAATGATGCAGCATTGTATTTACGTGCTTTTCATTGACCTTTTCTCTCTTTGGATCTTAATTGTTTGAAATCTATGTTAGTCACTGCCTCATGGTTGTGGCATATTGGTGATTCGCAAGTAGTGGCTATTTCCAGTCCAAGGCATCCACGTCACCAAGGAGGGAACAAAGGTTAAGGCTAAATCAGGAGTTCCTACGCTGTAATCAATTGGAGCTTGTTACTGTCAAATTGCAGGCATATCTTGTGCAGCTGTAACACTCAACTTAATACTGCTGTATAATAATACATATTTTAGTTATATTGAGCTGCATAGTTTCTAAGAAGCAAAGAAAACATTAAATTGGACTTACTTACTTATTCCTTTTAGCTCGAAGTAAAACAAAGGGCCTCAACGGTGCATTGAAGTGGATATATACAATATTATACAATAGAGTGGAGTTGGCAATCATTTAGGCTTATGTTCTAGATAATTTTCTCTGGAGTATTTTCGTTACTGAATCTTGTATCTCACTGTCTCCAATGCGTGAGTTCACTTTTTCAATCTTGCACCGAACAAAGCATCCTAAGGTCAAAACTGTCAAAGGCATTCACCATCTTAACCTGCTTTGTTTATTGCACCTTTGAAAAATGTGAGAGTGTATCTGTCTCAATATGTTGGTGGTATAACGGTTTGGACGGCTGTGGGGGGAAAAGTATGTTTGAATAAAACCCAAGGTGAGAGATTTTCCCTAAGCCTGAGAAGCTGAGCTTGTTGCTCTATTAAAGAGGCTGTATGGAAGTTTAATTACTAAACTCATGGAACCACACAATACTTAGTTTTCGTCTAACAATATGCTTTTGCTCATGGGCGTCCAGTAGTGGTATCCCTTTTAGTCAAATGAGGTCATGTCTGGGCAATACAGAGCCTTCGGAAAGTATTCAGACCCCTTGACTTTTTCCACATTTTGTTACGTTACAGCCTTATTCTAAAATGTTTAATTTATTTTATCCTCAGCTTAATTGAGGTCCACCTGTGGTAAATTCAATTGATTGGACATGATTTGGAAAGGCACACACCTGTCTATATTAGGTCCCACAGATGACAGTGCAGGTCAGAGCAAAAACCAAGCCATGATGTCGAAGGAATTGTCCGTAGAGCTCTGAGACAGGATTGTGTCGAGGCACAGATCTGGGGAAGCGTAACAAAAAACATTTCTGCAGCATGGAAGTTGCCCAAGAACACATTCTTAAATGGAAGAAGTTTGGGACCACCAAGACTCTTCCTAGAGCTGGCCGCCCGGCCAAACAGAGCAATCGGGAGAGAAGGGCCTTGGTCAGGGAGGTGACCAAAAACCAGATGGTCACTCTTACAGAGCTCTAGAGTTCCTCTGTGGAGATCGGATAACCTTTCAGAAGGACAACCATCTCTGCAGCACTCCACCAATCAGGCCTTTACGGTAGAGTGGCCAGACAGAAGCCACTCCTCAGTAAAAGGCACATGACAGCCCGCTTGGAGTTGGCCAAAAGGCACCTGAAGACTCTCAGACCATGAGAAACAAGATTTTCTGGTCTGATGAAATCAAGATTCAACTCTTTGGCCTGAATGCCTAGCGTCACGTCTGGAGGAAACCTGGCACCATCCCTATGGTGAAACATGGTGGTGGCAACATGCTGTGGGGATGTTTTTCAACAGCAGGGACTGGGAGACTAGTCAGGATCGAGGTAAAGATAAACGGAGCAAAGTACAGAAAGATCCTTGATGAAAACTTGCTCGAGAGCACTCAGGACCTCAGAACTCAATGTTGTTCAAGTTGACTAACACGCTGGATTTCAGAGCGGGCGCGTTTGGTAGTCTGAACATGCTACTATGTGGCAAAGCTCCAGATCCAAACTCCACAAATACCACCATCAATTTCCCTGCTTCTGGAGCGATGAGGAATGACACAGAAAACAGTGAATCACTGGATGACGCCAGGAACCGCAGTTCCAGTAAGTATTGTTAATAGTGCACAATACCTTGACCTATCAAAATACTGACTTCAATTGTTGATATTTCAGAAAACAAGTACTGTCATTCAAGGTAAGAGTTTTGGTGTTGTTCTCTAGTGGATGGCACACTATGAAGCAGACACAACATGTTATATATTTGTGACACTAAATGCTTCTTATATTTTTATTTGATACCGTTTATTGTATTGTCGTATAGTCACATCCCAGCAACCCAAAATTGGTTCTGTGAAAGTTCCCAGAACATTTTATTAAATTGTGGGAAAGGTGTAAGAAACATTCCCTCCAAAAGTTTTAATAACACAACATCTGTCCAGTTGTGTTGACAATTACACAATGTTTGTATTAGGGTGCAAAAAACATTCCTCTGATGTTAACGATAATGTTAACAGAACATATTTCTTTATGATCCCAAAACATTCCATTAGGTTGTGTCCTATTGGTTCACCTTCCAATAGGACAACAACCCTAAGCACACAGCCAAGACAACACAGGAGTGGTTTTGGGATAAGTCTCTGAATGTCCATGAGTGGCTCAACCAGAGCTCGGACTTGAACCCAATCAGACATCTCTGGTGAGAGCTGAAAATAGCTGTGCAGCAACGCTCCCCATCCAACCTGACAGAGCTTGACAGGATCTGCAGAGAAGAATGGGAGAAACTCCCCAAATACAGGTGTGCCAAGCTTGTAGCGTCATACCCAAGAAGACTCGAGGCTGTGATCGCGGCCAAAGGGTGCTTCAACAAAGTACTGAGTAAATGTCTGAATACTTATGTAAATGCGATATTTCAGTTTAGATTTTTTTATAAATGTGCAAAAATGTTTAAAAACCTGTTTTTGCTTTGTCATTATGGGGTATTGTGTATAGATTGATGAGGGAAAAAACAATTTAATCAATTTTAGAATAATGCTGTAATGTAACAAAATGTGGAAAAAGTCAAGGGGTCTGAATACTTTCCGAATGGACTGTAAGTAGGGACATTTGGCATGGTGAGTAGGGATGTCCTAAAATGTATACCGTACTTGTTGTGAGTTCTCCAATGAGAATGTTTTATGGGTCTACTGTAAGTAGCCTATACCCAGCCAAAGCAGAAAGATGAATGTGGACAGAGACCTACTAAAGCAGCACCGCCCCCTCAAGATTCTGAGACTGCCTGGCAGGGTTGGTCCTACAAAGCCAAAGCCCCTTGATGGGAGAGCATAATATACAAGGAAATTCTCAAAGCTGCTAATGAGAACCTTGACGACCTTGTACCTAGCCAGTTGGGATTCCGGTGGGGTGCCCCCACCCAGGTAGTGGCAGTGCTGGCAACACTAGTTGCAGTAACTCATGAGGAGGGGGTCACACTCAGACATTCAAAGACATTTGGCCCTGGTGACATTTGGCCCTAGTGGCACAAAATAATCAAAGGTCTGACTGCACAGAGATCCTTGGGAAAAGGGTCACAACGGGGGACCAGCCTGTGTGTGTTTCAGGGGAAGGGGGTGTATCTGATCTCCATCACCTAGGAAATGACAATGGTTAATCAAATCTCCTCATTTTCCCCTTTTTTTGGTTACTACATGATTCCATATGTGTTATTTCATAGTTGTGATGTCTTCACTATTATTCTACAATGTAGAAAATAGTCAAAATAAAGAAAAACACTTGAATGAGTAGGTGTTCTAAAACTTTTGACCGGTAGTGTATATATTTACAAAACAATATATGGGGGATTGGAAATGATGCTGACAATTACATTGATGGAAGCTACAATCTATCTGCAATATTAAAGCTGATCTACCCCTAAAAATAAATAAAAGCTTGGGGCATCATACCCAAGAAGACTTGAGGCTGTAATCGCTGCCAAAGGTGCTTCAACAAAACACTGAGTAAAGGGTATGAATAGTTATGTAAATGTGATATTTATATTTTTATATTTGTAGAAATTAGCAAACAATTATGGGGTATTGTGCGTAGATTGATGAGGATTTTTTATTTTTTATATATATATATATATATATATATATATATATATATACACACATTTAAAAATAAGGCTGTAACTTAACAAGGGGTCTGAATACATTCTGAAGGCACTGTATATATGTCAATTTAGGGGACCCTTTTTGGCTCAAGAGCATCAAAGCCAAAATGTCTGTATAACATTTTAATTGAAGTTTGTACTCTATTCTTCTCCTATCATGGTCTCCAGTGGCCGTGGTAAAGTAAAAACAATTCCATTTGTTTGAATAAGCATTGATATTTCCTGGATTTCATTTCAACATTATTTCCAGTAGAGGCTACAAAAGAGTGCACAAGTTATCTTTGAGAGAAATTGTATGGGACAGCAAACGCAATAAATAAATGATAAGGCAAGAAGCAGACAGAGGGGAAAAAAGCCATTTGAGCAACTTAAGCCCGGAGGCATTTTCAGTCATAGAAGAGAAAGCCAGACAAGCTCCGAGCAAAATGGAGCGGGTAAAATGCTCTTTCACACTCAGAGAGATTGGAGTTGGGGAAAGTGTTGATAACAAAAACATAAAGAAAGGGACTTAAGATAGAAAAAAAGAGAGACAGGGTTTATCGAGACAGCATTGAGTGGTAGTGGGTGATTTGGACATTTGTTGTAGCTTAGCACAGAGCACGATAGATAGTGAGGTCATAGGAGGTGTTGGACAGTAAGGAACTGGTGCTCTCTACTTCTGTCAAACAATGGTCAAGGTGCACAGTAGGTTAGAGATGTATGAAAATAAGTTGTTTTGACCTTAGATGAATTTAATTGAAAAAACTTTGATCCCCAGAGGATTTGTCACCAGCGTAGGATACATAGAGTGACAACAGATAGGTGCCATTACAGGGTCAGCCATAGCAGTACAGAGCCCCTGGAGTAAAGTGCTTTGCTCAAGGGCACATCAACAGATTTTCACATAGACGGCTCGGGTATTTGACTCAGCAACGTTTCGGTTAATGGCCCAACGCTGTAATCGCTAGGCTACCTGTCGCCTGAGTACTGATGGCTGGTGGAACAAGTACAATACATGACGTCAATGGCATCAGCAGAATAAATATAATGCAACATCTTACGAAATAGTAGTGTTGTCACGATACCAGATTTCTGACTTCGAAACCAATACCAGGTTTAGTATCATGATACCGAAACGATACTCAATACCAAAATGATATTCGATACCGAAACAATACCACGGCAAAAAAAATGTGCATTAGGTAAAGTCAGTGTCACGAACGTTGAGAGACGGGTCAGACCAAGGTGCAGCGTGAAAACCGTACATGTTTATTAACTAAATAAACATAACACAAAACAAGAAACAACGTAACGTGAAGTCCTCAGGCTATACACATACACGCCTAAACGGAAACAAGATCCCACAATACACAGTATGCAATGGGCTACTTAAGTATGATCCCCAATCAGAGACAATGAGCGACAGCTGTCTCTGATTGGGAATCACACCCGGCCAAACCTAGAAACACAACCTAGCACTGCAACATAGAAATAGACTAACTAGAACATAAACATAGAATCTCACGCCCTGACCAAACCAACTAAAGACAACAGGCCTCTTCCTCTCTGCCTCCCCGTTGCGCCCCTGGTCTGGTCTGGACCTCGGCGCGATGCTTCCCCTCTCCTTCCTCCCACGATGCACCAAGCCCTGTCTGGACCCTGGTGTGGGAGACCCCGAACCTGGAGAGGGGCTGACGTCTGGGCCTGGATCGGCAATCCTCCCGCGATGCACCAAGCCCTGTCTGGACCCTGGTGTGGGAGACCCCGACCCTGGAGAGGGGCTGACTTCTGGGTCTGGAGTGGAGCCGCTGACCGGAACTGGACTGGACACCGGTGGAGCGGACTGCTCTGGCTCCGGAGTGGAGCAACCGACCGGAGCTGGATCAGGCACCGGTGGAGCGGACTGCTCTGGCTCCGGAGTGGAGCCGCTGGCCGGAGCTGGAATGGACCCGGGTGGAGCGGCCTGCTCTGGCTCCGGAGTGGAACCACTGACCGGAGCTGGACTAGGCACTGGTGGAGCGGACTGCTCTGACTCCGGAGTGGAACAGCTGACCGGAGCTGAACTGGACCCCGGTGGAGCGGTCTGCTCTGATTCTAGAGTGGAGCAAACTTCCGGACCCGTATCCATCCCCATCTCTGGAGCAGGACTAAACGCCGTGCCCAGCCTGGGCACCGACGCAGAGGAAAATTCCAGCCCTGTAGTAAGACTGGTTGCCGGCCCCAGACTGGGCACCGACACGTTAAGGAGCTCCTGCTCCAAAACGGGACTGTATGTCATGCCCACCCTGGGCACCGATGCAGAGGTGGTTTCCAACCCTGTAGTTGGGCAGGTTGCCGGCCCCAGACCGGGCACCGACACGCTAAAGTCCTCCCTGCAGGGGACCGTCGCTGGAGGTCGGGTGAGTTGTGTGGTTGGAGGAGGTGTAGAAACGCCACCTCTCTCCCATCGCTCCAATCTACTCACTACACGCTCCATTGCGCTGCCGAGAGCCTGGATCCTGCTTGCCTGCCGTTGGATACGTTCCTCCAAAGATCCGGACTGACCGACTGTACCTACTGACTCCATTTTAGGTGCGTGTTTCTGTCCTGGAACGGGCCGTGTAGGACTGGGAACACGCACCACTGGCTTAGTGCGAGGAGCAGGCACGGCCGTGCCGGACTGGGAACACGCACCACTGGCTTGGTGCGAAGAGCAGGCATGGGCCGTACCGGACTGGGAACACGTACCACTGGCTTGGTGCGAAGAGCAGGCACGGGCCGTACCGGACTGGGAACACGCACCACTGGCTTGGTGCGAGGAGCAGGCACGGGCCGTACCAGACTGGGAACACGCACCACTGGCTTGGTGCGAGGAGCAGGCACGGGCTGTGCCGGACTGGGAGCACGCACCACTGGCTTGGTGCGAGAAGCAGGCACGGGGCGTACCGGGCTGGGAACTGGCGTTGGAGATGTACGACTGTTCCAGTCCTTCTCTCTCTGCGCCCAATCCTCCTCCAGTGAGGACTCCTCTGGGAGCCCCCACGAGTTAGGGAACAGAAACTCATCGTCGTTGTCATCCTCCGACTCCTCAGTGTAAAACTGTTCCCATTCCTGTTCCCATGGTCGTAGGGACTCCAACTGGAACCCCACCGGGTGCAGTGGTCGGGGCTCTTCTCTCTCGATCCCCGACCACCCCTTAAGTCCCCCCCCAAAAAAATATTGGGGCTGCTTCTCGGGCTTTCTCCGTGACCGAATCCTTTTGGGTCACCGTTTCTCCTCTCCTGCCTGGTCTTCCTCCTTCGCCCAGGGTCCTCCACCAGCCAATATCTCCTCCCAAGTCCAAAATGACTTCCCCACCTGTGTCCAGGGTGTCTGCTGCTCCTGGGCACACTGCTTGGTCCTTTTGTGGTGGGATCTTCTGTCACGAACATTGAGAGATGGGTCAGACCAAGGTGCAGCGTGAAAACCGTACATGTTTATTAACTAAATAAACATAACACAAAACAAGAAACAACGTAACGTGAAGTCCTCAGGCTATACACATACATGCCTAAACGGAAACAAGATCCCACAATACACAGTAGGCAATGGGCTACTTAAGTATGATCCCCAATCAGAGACAACGAGCGACAGCTGTCTCTGATTGGGAATCACACCCGGCCAAACCTAGAAACACAACCTAGCACTGCAACATAGAAATAGACTAACTAGATCATAAACATAGAATATATAACATAGAAACTCACGCCCTGACCAAACCAACTAAAGACAACAGGCCTCTCAAGGCCAGGGAGTGACAGTCACAGAATAACCACTGTCACGCCCTGGCTCTGGGGACTCTAGTATGTTGAGCCAGGGTGTGAGTTTTCATTAGTTTTTCGTTCTAGGTTAGTATTTCTATGTTGGCCAGTGTGGTTCTCAATCAGAGGCAACATGTATCAGCTGTTGCTTGTTGTCTCTGATTGGGAACCATACTTAGGCAACCAGTTTTCCCACAGTGTTTGTGGGATCTTGTTCCTGTTTAGGTTTGTGTCTGAACCGAGGATGTCACGTTATCGTTTATTGTTTTGTTCATAGTATTACTCAAATAATAAAGATATGTTCACCTTCCACGCTGCGCCTTGGTCCTCTGTTCCCGATGATCGTGACAACCACTGGGCTTTTTTTATATATATATTTTTTTACATTTAACAATAATATTGATGACTGGTAGAACAAATACAAATAAATTGAATATCTTCTACTCTATATTCAATTTCTTGCAAACATAAAACACCATATTAAATAACAGCAGAATACCTTACATTTTCCTGCTGTGAAACCATATCGGAGACTCAGAGCAAACAAAATAATTGCACAATTACATCTAAACTATTTAAAAATGTAATTTAATACATATCAGGGTTAATTTGCTCATCTATGATTCATAAAATTAGCTTTTTTGTCTTAATTTAAGGTTAGGATTAGGCATAAGGTTAGCAGTGTGGTTACTACATGATTCCATATGTGTTATTTCGTAGTTTTGATGTCTTCACTATTATTCTACAATGTAAAAAATAAAACATATAAAGAAAAACCCTTGAATGAGTAGGTGTGTCCAAACTTTTGACTGGTAGTGTGTATATATATATTTGGTGATATTATGATATTATTTTATTTATTTATTTGTAACATAATGGCCTGCTTGGATGTTATGAACTCTGAAACAACACAAATCTGAAGGGGTCATTTTTGGGCATTCCTTAAGAAATTACAGTACCCATTAAATCTAGTAAGGCCACTGCCTTAGTAATCTTTGTGGTTTCTGAGTCCACAATGAAATTAGTGTTCTATTTTTGTAACACCATTCCATGCTCTTGCCTCCCTTGGATACACAGCTGAGAAATGACACATAATGCGAAGAATAAAGACTGAAACATCATACAGTTTACCGAATGGCTCTACTTATAAATCCTTTAATACGATACAGCCCGAGACCTCTCTCTCTCTGCCCATTGACTACTTAGCTGTGATTTCAAGCTGTTTTACCCAAAATTGCCTGAGTGAGATGCCCATGCTTTTCCAATCAGCACATCTTAGCTTCCTTGTGTGTTGCTGCCGAGGGTAAAATTGAACCAAAATGAATGTACTCAGAACTCAATAAGGGCTGCCTCAATTGCCGGGATAAACGGGGATTCGAGTGACACTTCCTTGAATTCGTAAACACTCTATGGCTTATACTTTCATAAACACAACAGGTGGATTAAGATTCTCTCTCGCTCTCGATTTGAGATATAATGTTTTTCTCAGTGAAGGTCAACAGGGACTCATGTTAGCATACTCCTGACATATCGAAATGATAGTGTTTAAGGACACGTGCAGTGGCTGGGCTGCCTTGGGCCATTGTGTTCTAGCCATCAGATATGTGGTATGGATATTAATCATATTCCGTCCATTTCATTTAAAACACATCCACTTAAAACTATCAGTACACAGTTAGGGAAGATATTGTTTTTGGCCATGTTTGAACTAAGTTACCACAGGCCTCATGCACCTAATCATTTTGATGGAGAGCACTATTGGAAAAATGCTGTGTCTAGGTGTTTTTTTCCAATGTAACATATACTATACTTAATATAGTGTTATATATCCTCAAGCAACCATTGTTTTAAACTGAGAGGACATGCACCTGAACAATGAAATACAGAAATACTCTCTGTCGGCCACTTGTATTACAAACACCTGAGGTGTTTGATGTAACATCTGAGGTGCTAGCTAAAAGGGGAAATTCAGTATTTTACAACTTTATGTTAGATGGTTCCTCACTCTGAAAGTAGTCTATTGGCTACAATAAACTGTAGTCCATGGCTTTAAACAACCACTACAAACATCAGCTCACTTGCAAGCTAAAAATCAATGGGAGTTATGGGCAACAGTTTAATTTAGATTGAGGAACCATGCATCTTACATTAATTTATAAAATACTGAACTTCCCCTTTAACACCGTTAAGCCTGTTAGAAACAATTATGCGATATTACTCAACAATGTTTTCTAAATCAACTTCTTATTCCCTCATTTAGCTACCTTTGGATTTGAATCCGGCAGAGACATTTGGATTAGTGGGGAGAACTATAGAAGATGTATTACCTTTGATTGATGAGGTTGGTGTGTTAGTTATTTACCATCTGAAAGGATAGTGGGCCTACATGGAAATCTAATACCATTCAGTATTAGTCTCTGTTGAAAACACTTGTGTCGCCCAGTAACCCCTATATGACTCATTGTAATCAATAACAATAATGGAAATATGAAGTCTATTGAGAAATTGCATGAAAATGGATAGTATCATATCAATTTGTTGTCTTGAAGTCAATAAATTAAGTACTATACTGTCATTTTCTGATAATTTGTTGTTGTAATAACACCCCCCACCAATACAGATGAACAAGTTGCAGAACTCAATGTTGTTCAAGTCGGCTAACACGCTGGATTTCAGAGCGGACGCGTTTGGTAGTCTGAACATGCTACTATGTGGCAAAGCTCCAGACCCAAACTCCACAAATACTACCATCAATTTCCCTGCTTCTGGAGCGATAACGAATGACACAGGAAACAGTCAATCACTGGACAACACCAGGAACCGCAGTTCCAGTAAGTATTGTTAATAGTGCACAATACCTTGACCTATCGAAATACTGAATTCAATTGTTGATATTTCAGAAAACAAGTACTGTCATTCAAGGTAAGAGTTTTGGTGTTGTTCTCTAGTGGATGACACACTATGAAGCAGACACAACATGTTATATATTTGTGACACTAAATGCTTCTTATATTTTTGTTTGATACCGTTTATTGTATTGTCGTATAGTCACATCCCAGCAAACCACAATTGGTTCTGTGAAAGTTCCCAGAACATTTTATTAAATTGTGGGAAAGGTGTAAGAAACATTCCCTCCAAAAGTTTTAATAACACAACATCTGTCCAGTTGTGTTGACAATTACACAATGTTTGTATTAGGGTGCAAAAAACATTCCTCTGATGTTAACGATAATGTTAACGGAACGTATTTTTTTATGTACTTTAAAAGATCCCGAAACATTCCATTAGGTTGTGGGAACAGTGTGGGGACAATGCAAAAACTAGGTTAACAAAACACAAAATAGTTGATGACCTTCATACAATGTTTGTATCAGGGTGCACAAAACTTTCCCTCAATGTTCTTACAATGTTAGTCCTATTCTCCTAGAATGATAAAGATAACTTTTGAACAGTCCATGGAGGTTTCTTCCATGTGTAAATTATATTTTACTGTTACAGAATTTTGTTTTACAACTGTTCATGTAGAAACACATTTGGCAATTGTGATATTTATAGCCATTTTGAACATTTGAAATAATGATATATTGTAGATCCATTGATTCTTGAAGAATATTAAGCCTTGAAATAGCGTATAAAAATTGTGAAAAGGGTTCTTCGATCAGTTCTGTCAAACAGCTAGCCATATTGTGTAATGTATACACAGCACAGACATTTACACATGTTCAGAAATGACATTCATGAATGCTTCAAAGGTCACACTTGTCAAGTGGAATATGTATGATTCCTGTGAACACTGAAGTATTGTTCGAAAAAATAGGCTTCAGTAGGCTTCCTCCAATGACAATAAATCAATTTAGTACAACAGTTTCCTGCTAGGCATACACATGCAGTTGCTTATCCCAACGACATGAAATAAATATGTAGCCCGTTTCTTGGGTTTCATGCTTTAAAATGCAGCAGAGCCCTTGTCTGTTCTACTTGACAGGTAGGCGGATGCTAAGCTGTTTATTGATTTCTTCATAGAGTGCAAATGTTTTCTAAGGTCAGAAGACGCCAAACTAAAAACCCAAAGAGTCAGAGGTCAGAGGTCATTCAATTCAATATTCATCAATAATAAATAAGCAGTTTCTGTCTAAAGAGACAAGACTAACAAGGAAATATATGAACTAACAGTACAGGTAGATAGCAATAAAAAACAATACTACAGAGATAGAAAATAAGTTAGAGGAAAAACAAAAAGAACTGGAGGAACTTATTCAAGAACAATCTAATGTAATCTATTACAAAAATGAGTATGGAGAAAAATGCAACAAATTCTTCCTGAATCTCCAACACAGGAACGCTACCAAAAAAAATTAGCAGAAACTCGTTACTAAAGACGGAGTCATCTATGATTCTCCAAATAATATTTTAAAAGAGGAAGCTAAATATGTTTAGCAGATGTTTTATTTTTGTTCTCATCCTCACCCTCTGAATGACGATTACTGTGTGGAATTATTTCCAAATAATTTAAAAAACTGAAAATTAACAAATGTACAGAAAGATCAGTGCGAAGGCCAAATTACAGAGGAATAACTTTTTGATGCTATTAAATCCTTTCAGTCTGGAAAAACCCCAGGGCTTGATGGCCTTTTTTGATATATTCAAAGATCTATTGTTAGCTTGTTTTAACGACTCCTATATAAATGGTAGTCTGTCAGGTACTCAGCAGGAAGGTCTGATTTCACTATTATTAAAACAAGACCCAGATGGCAAATTTAAAGATCCAGTCTATCTAAAAAAACTAGAGGCCTCTTACACTTCAATGTTGTGATGCAAAAATACTAGTGAAATGCATAGCACTCAGAATTAACAAGGTTTTACCAGGTATTGTTCATCCTGATCAGACAGGTTTTTTTACATGGACGATACATTGGAGATAATATATGACAACTACTAGAAATAATAGAACAACATGAAAGAAGCCAGGCCTGCTAATACAGCGGATTTTGAAAAGGCCTTTGATAATCGTTGGATTGTATTTTATTTATAAATGCCTGGATTTTTTCAATTTCGGTGATTCTCTTATAAAATGGGTAAAAGTAATGTATAGGAACCCCAGGTGTAAAATAGTAAATAGTGGCTACTTCTCAGAGTTTTGAATTGTCAAGAGGAGTTAAACAAGGGTGTCCGCTGTCACCATTTCTATTCGTTATGGCCATCGAAATGCTAGCTATTAAATACAGATCAAATAACAACATTATAGGATTAGAAATCCAAGGCTTAAAAACAAAGGTGTCCATGTGTGCCGACGACTCAAGTTTTATATTAAGTCCGCAAGCTAGATCCCTGCAATGTCTCATTGAAGATCTAGATAACTTTTCTGGACTCTCTGGACTAAAATCTAATTATGATAAGTGTACAATATTACGCATTGGATCTTTAAAAAATACAACTTTTACATTACCCTGCAGTTTACCTATAAAACGGGCTGACGGTGAAGTAGACATACTTGGTATTCATATCACAAAATATATAAATGAACTCTCCACTATGAATTTCAATATAAAACAAGATCCTGCAACAATGGAGAGGTAAATACCTGTCTATTTATGGAAAAATTGTCCTGATTAACTCCTTAGTCATAGCAGTTTACGCACTTACTTATGGCCCTGCCTACTCCTGATGATTCGTTTTTCAAATCATATGAGCAAAAAATATTTTGCTTAATCTGGGATGCTAAACCAGACAAGAGAAAGCGTGCCTATCTTTTCTCAAAGTATCGCTCTTTTTCAAATAAGCATTGCAGAGCTGGCTACAATTTCAAGTTCATCCCCCTGAAAAGATAGAACATATATTACAACAAATAATTTGGCTGAACTCAAATATGCTGGTTGATAAAAGACCTGTATTTATGAAAAGGGTATTTTGTTTTCAAATGATATTGTAAATTGGAATGGGAGAGTTATGTCTTTCATGGAGTTATCAGAATTGTATGGGATGGTCTGCTCAATCCAAGATTACAACCAATTGATTACAGCATTACCCCAAAAATGAATGGAGGCAGGTGGCAGCGGGAGGAGGTAGGGAACTGGTCTGTCTGCCCAATATAAAGGATCAAAACTGGCGGAGGAATAAAAATAGCATAAATAGGAAAGTATACCAGTTTCATTTGAGGACCAGGATGTTGACAGCTGTGCCATACAGATTGAAAAATAGTTGGGAAGAGAGTTTTGATGTACCGATGCCATGGTACAGGGTGTATGAGTTGATATATAAAACAACGCAAGATTCAAGACTTTGTGCTTTTCAGCTAAAATTATTGTATAGAATTCTTGAATATTTGCGGCATACAATGATCGCAGCTCTGCAGATTTTGATGTGAGGATACAGAATCAATAGACCATTTGTTTTGGTATTGCCCTCAGGTAGCCTGTTTCTGGTCTCAGGGTCAGGAATGGCTGAAAATGAATAACATTGATCTAAAATTGAACCTAGAATAGTATTGTTGGGAGATCTGGAGAGACTGTGTCAGTCAATTACTATACTAATACTCTTAGTAAAAGTATTTAACTTCAACTCGCAATCTGTGGATTCTATTTGATTAGATAGATTCAAATTGTATGTTAAACATCACAGTATAGTTGAAAGATATATGGTGCATAGAAATCTGAAGAGGGTGGCCAGCAGAAATAGGTGGGATGGGTTGGGATGTGGAATTGGAGACAAGTGGGAGAGGAGTTGCTGGGCGGGGGATAGAATGACGGTCAAAGATAAAGGTAAAATAATAAAGTCAAAATAAAACATAACAAAAAGTAAATTTGAATGACACTGAGAGCCAGTGTTGTTTCAGCTAATGCCTGTTTGCCTGAGGCTGATGCCGTGAAGGTGTTTGTACACATGCATATACACACACTCTCATTCAAATTCACACACGTACACATACATGGACACACACACACACACACACACACACGCACACACACACACGCACACACACACACACACACACACACATGTAAATAGTTCCATACATGCACTCAAACTATTCAGTTGGCCTTGCTGTTATGATTTTTTTGTCCTTGATGTCTTTTGTTTTTTGCATTGTTGTTTTCTGTTGTTTATCTCTTTTGTTCATTTTGTTGGTTGTTGGTGCATTGAAGGGGGGGGCTTGGGGGGGGGGGGGGATCTTGGTGGCCTGGCGGTTGGGAGCTTGGGCCGGTGGCTGATGGGTCGCTGGTTCAGGTCCCCGTTTTTGACCTTGTGGAAGATCTGTCGACGTGCCCTTGAGCAGGGCGTTAACCCTGGTTGCTTCTGTGGGTCGCTCTGGATGGGAGTCTGTTAGATAACTAATGTGATGTAGATGTTGAGCGGCTTCACTGCAAGTAGATTGTATGTTTTAAATATTCCAAAAAAGAAAGAAAAAAAAAGAAGACAAAAAACAGAGTCTTAAACCTTATCAGGGGTCTGACCTGTCAAATCAACCTATTTATTTACAGTGCCGAGTTCCTCATTACACAAATGTTTGTCCCTCTGCTTACCACCGATTGCAATTTCTCAAGTGTAATGTCTATGGAATTATACTAATTAGGGGCTGCGCTATCCTAGTCCATTAATTGCCTATTCGTTTGAGGATCCACAGAAAAAAATGAAAGATTTTAATAAGCTTGGCTCTTCCCGGGAATAAAGTTACACTCTAAAGTGGATTTGTGTGCTGGTGCCACTACAAATTAGTAAAACAATGCAGCAGCCATTTGAAATGAGCGCAAACACCTCTGCCGGCATGCTAATAGCTTTTCTTGCTTATTTTTATTGTTATGTAAAGTAAATGGGTATGGGATTGAACATTTGCAAGGCTCCAAGTGTACTCTGAGGAATATTAAAATAGCAACAATAAAGGCTAGAAAAGACATTTGGTAATTACTCCATTTTGTTATCCCTCCCAAATTAATTCATGATGGCATTCGGCATCATCCAATAGCATCATTAAAGAAAATAACAGTGTAGTAAACTGCTTTCCTTGGCAGTAAACAGTATTTTTGTTTAAAAGATTCTTCCACAATGAGATTAGCCCTTTCGATCGATCGTTTACACCCCCCACTGTGCTGGGGAATCACATATCTATTCATTCGTAGAAGAAAATGTGTGTAGGCCATTGAAATGTTTGATTGATAAAGCCTATATAATACAGAATGACACATTCATTTAACTGTTTTATATTTGCTGGTGTAGTTTTGCACAGGGAGGCTCCTTCTGTGAACTGACATGATTGTAAAATATTGATTCGTTTGATGTTGTAGTTGCAGTACAGTTGCAGTGGAGCATTGTTTGTGCGTGTGTGTGCGTCTCCATGTGTGTGTCCGCACAAATATTATGTGTGAGTGACAAAAGGAATATTGTCTGTCTTTCGCGTAAGAGAAATTCCTGTTTGAATGACACATATTCTGGAGAGTTCTATTTCAATATTGGATGCAAGAGATGTTTGTTTGCGAACAAGAGAAGCGGTGCAGTCTGAGTGAGTGTGTGTTAGCCCAGTTATGTAGGTGTGTGACTGACTGTGTGTGTGTGTGAAAGTTGTCTTGTTTCTGCACTGTGTCGAGTTGATCCACTCTCCAGGGTACAACTCAAATTGATTAAATTTGCTAGGTAAGATGAGGGGCTGCCTAAAGGCTCTAAGCAATTACTTGGCTGCAGCTCCCTGTGTAAAATATGGATTCAGTTCCTCACCGCCACCATTGTGTGATAAATCGGACACCTTTGGTCAGAATACGATGATGCGTCACAGTTTTGGGGGAGATAAATATTCAAACGAATAAGAATGGGCGGAAGAGATTCATCCTGATGTCAATATTTATTGGACGGAGAGCTACGTGCTATGTGTCCCTGTGTACTTCCTGTCTAAGCGATGTGATTATAGGAAATGACATCTGTGTGGTCGGGGGAAACAGCTGGCTGGAGTGAGGGCGGCCATTAGCTCTTGACAGAGTCTCCCCGGAGCACCTGAGTAGGGATGGCCGCAAGGCAAAAGGCTAACGTTTATCGCACTTCCTGCACTGCAAATGGCCACTAAAATCTTTGACGGGGGGATAGGTAGCCATCTGTGAAGGGAGCATTGTGGTAGAGGAGGTGGAACAGTCTTTTGGGTCGCGCTGACGAGCCAAGTGTAGACATACGCACCTAAGCCCAGACAGACGGACAAACAGAAACACAGAGAAGGACAGACCGTTAGACAAAGACACAGTGACACAGACAGACCACATAGAAGAACAGAGCGACGTTGAAAGACAGACAGACGGACGGACAGACCACCATCAGCGAAGGACAGCCAGCCAGGCTGCCATACAGACAGACAGACAGACCGATACACAGAGATGCTGAACAAGACAGACAGACACATCCGCATACCCCTAGAGAAACACACACAAGTGAAGGTTGCAGCACCTGTCACCGTGCTGTTCCCTTACATCTATGTCTCTGCGTAACCTACACAGCGCTCCAACCGACCTGGCAGTATTCACATAGGCAGATTGGATAAATGAATAATGATCCCGCTGCAGCTGAACATATTGACTTGTTTTCTCCCTCCGTGTTGAGCACCCTACACCTCCTATGTATTCAGCTAGACTACTGTACAAATGTCTTCCTCCATTCCTTCCTCTCCCCCCAGACATTGTGTTATTAGGTACACATTAATGGAGTCGTTCAGAGTCTTTGAAGTGTGGTAATTGCATTAAATCCTCTGCATAGTGAAAAGTGGAAACTTGACCGGTTGTGACATATCGCCCACTACTTCTATTACTAAGACTACGTTTATTATCTCAACAGTGACGTGCCGGTTTGTTGTGATCGCCAGAAATCATTTCTCGCGATCTTTGTAATTGTACTCTGTGGTTCATCCTTTATGTTCAGCATTCAGATTTTCCTCTCTCTCAATTTGCGTCCCAGATGGCACCCTATTCCCTATATAGTGCAATACTTTTTACTAGGGCTCTGGTGCACTATAGGGAATAGGGTGCCATTTGGAACGGAACGTTCATTTTACATGTCTAACCCTGAAACACAACAGATGAACAAACTTGCATTTTGATGGTAACTTTGATGGTAACAGATGGATAAAATGTGATGCCAACATAAAATGTTTTTCATGTTTGTTATTATCAAGACATTATTCATTTATCTTGTGTCGTATTGAGCAGTTTGGCCCATGAAGTCGTTCAGACAGACTGCATTTCTCAATTTTGAAGTTGTGAACAGGTGTATTCTCTCTCACCAGGTGGTGTCTTCTGCAAAAAACTGATTGTCACTCTTGAGGGAACTCCTGGCCTACGTGTTGTCTGGCGTACGTTTCGGCCCCTCATCCAAGGGAAGGTCCTCTACACTCCTGACACACCTGCCACTCGACTAATGGTGAAAAAGGTAAGTAAAAGAGAAACTCATATTGTATGCACATCGGTTAAGGTGCTGGACCGAAAATAATAGTGAAATATGTCTGCCAGGGTTGGTGTCAATTCGAATAGAAGTCAGTGAAAAGAACTGACAGTAATCTGATGTCTGCAACACTCATATCAGTGTCATGGATGTTTACACTCATATCAGTGTCATGGACATTTACACTCATATCAGTATCATCGGCATTTACACTCATTTCAGTATCATGGACGTTAACACCCATATCAGTGTCATGGACGTTTACACCCATATCAGTGTCATGGACATTTACACCCATATCAGTGTCACGGACGTTTACACCCATATCAGTGTCATGGATGTTTACACTCATATCAGTGTCATGGAGGTTTACACTCATATCAGTGTCATTTACTTTTATGTAGTAAACTTACTCCTTAACATTTCCTAAAATTGACAAACCTGTTAAGTGTCTTGTCTTGTCTATGTAAATAGCTTGTACAATTAAAATGTTTGCCATTGTATCTAATTGCATATTTTCACTCCACGAATCAGGAGGCATTTACATTATCTGGTAAATAAAAACGTGATGATACATGCTATGAACCCATCTCCAAAAAACAGCTAGGGAGAGGAGATGGAGAACACTCAGGGGAGATGGAGAATGTAATGTATTTTTCATGAAGTTCCTCCCGATATTAACATCATTTTGACAACGGCATAAACAAAACAAACAAATGTCGAGAAGCCGTAGGGAATTGGATGTGGAGAATATCCAGTGAGATAATGACTTTGAGCGGATCCACCGACTTCACAACGACCGGCTCGGTCTTGGCATAGGGGCCCGTCTTTACACTCAGCGCAGCCCGACTGTTTACATCTCAGTGCTCGGGATTAAATAACTCTGTTTACATTAGTCACAACGGGGGGTATAGGAATCAGATGAGTCTCCCCGGGGGATAGGTGACAGTACGAAGAAGCAGTACTTTCTCAAGGTCGGACTGGCTGCGAAATAAATTAGATAGCACAGTGGGAATGCATTCAATTGGAGGACGGATAGAGATGGCATTTTCCATGTTTTAATCACCACACTGTGTATCTCTCTATCCTGTTTCAGGCAAATAGCACATTCAATGCGTTGGCCATATTGAAAGAGCTGGCAGAAGCTTGGGAGGATTTCGGACCACGTGTTTGGGACTACATTCAAAATGGCCGCCAAGTCAATGCACTGCGGGTAAGATTTATGACTCCTTCAACAGAAACATGGATATTTGTTGTACTACGCCGGAGAGCTGGTTTACATGTATCAGATGTTAGACAAGGCTGAGTGACTTGTCATACATGCATCAGTGTCACAGTGTCTTATCTATGGTCATTATGTCTAATGTTAAAGTAACTGTCCAGTGTTTCCAGATTTCTATGAAATATGACCTATAATTAATTACAATATGAGTGAAATAGTTTTCCTTCCAATTTTTTAAAAATGAAGTATGTTAAAAATTGTTTATGTGTTGGATGGTGTGGGGCATTTAGCCACAACCAGAATGGTGTGGGCGTATACAAGGGTTGAATGCCGGGAACCCGGTTACCGAGATTTACCGCCCAAAACCTGTCACGTTGTATACATTTACCATTTAACATTTACGTCATTTCGCAGTACGCTCTTAGCCAGATGCGACTTACAGTTAGTGCATTACATTATATTTTTTTTATTACTGGCCCCCCGGGGGAATCGAACCCACCAACCCTGGCGTTGCAAACGCCATGCTCTATCAACTGAGCTACATCCCTTGCCGGCCATTCCCTCCCCTAACCCTGGACGACACTGGGCCAATTGTGCGCCGCCCATGAGTCTCCCGGTCGCGGCCGGGCTGCGGACAGAGCCTGGATTCGAACCAGGATCTCTAGTGGCACAGTTAGCACTGACGCTGCCGTGCCTTAGCCCACTGCCGCCACTCCGGAGTATAATGATTAGAAGACAGGCGCAGGAATACGTATTAGGGTTTTTTATTTCTCCACCCAACACAATGTACGTCATGAATAAACAACGGGGATGAAGCCCAAAAAAAACACTTGTATATATATAACACAGGGATGTAACCCAAACAAAAGAGCGAGGTGTAAACCTCGAAACAATCCACAGGACGAGACCCGTAATAACAACAGCACAATACACGGTACTTACAAGACCAACGGACATGGGACAATAATCGACCAGGACAATGGGGAACAGAGGACACATATATACACATACTAATCAGGGGAAATGGGAACCAGGTGTGCGTAATGAGACAAGACAGTCCTGGGTTGGAGGTAATGATCCAGGTCAGTGACGCCTAGAAGACCGGTGACGTAACCCTCCTCAGGACTTTAAACGGCCCCACAAACCGTGGGCTCAGCTTCCATCAGGGCAAGCGGAGGGGCAGGTTCCGGGTGGAGAGCCAGACCCGGTCGCCTGGAGAGAAAACAGGCGCCTCACTGCGGTGGAGGTCGGCCTGTTCCTTGTGCCGACGCACGGCCCGCTGGAGACAAGTGTGCGCAGTGATTCAGATCTCCTCAGTGCGCCGAAACTACTTGTCCACCGCAGGGGCCTCGGTCTGGCTCGGATGCCAAAGTGCCAGGGCCGGCTGATACCCCAACATGCACTGGAAAGGAGTGAGGTTAGTGGAGGAGTGGCGGAGGGAATTCTGTCCATACTCAGCCCAAGGTAGAAAATCCGCCCACTCCCCCAGCCGGTCCTGACAGCAACACCTCAGAAACCTGCCCACTTCCTGATTGACCCTCTCCACCTGCCCATTAGCTTGTGGACGGTACCGGAGGTGAGACTGACCGTGACCCCCAGGCGTTCCATGAACGCTTTCCATACACGTGAGGTGAACTGAGGGCCACGGACTGACACAATGTCCTCCGGGATCCCGTAGTGCCGGAAGACGTCCGTAAAAAGAGCCTCCGCTGTTTGCATGGCCGACGAGAGCCCAGGCAGGGAAGGAGGCGACAAGCTTTGGAAAACCGGTCCACAACGACGAGAACGGTGGTGTTCCCCTGGGAGGGGGGAAGGTCAGTGACAAAGTCCACAGAGAGGTGAGACCAGGGTCGTTGTGGAACCGGCAGGGGAAGGAGCTTTCCATAAGGGAGGTGTCTGGGTGTCTTTGACTGGGCACAGATGGACCAGGGAGAGACATAAACCCGCACGTCCCTAGTCAAGGTGGGCCACCAGTACTTCTCAGTCAGGCAGGCGATGGTACGGCCTATCCAAGGATGACCCGACACAGGTAAAAAATATACATTTATTGTAGGATATGGAAATTGGGGAAAATAAAGTAATTATGGGTAAGTGCTGCGTAACTTTCACCTCAGCAGTCAGGAAAGAGGATTAGCTTCCCTGTTCCCTTGAAGCTGACATTACTCCCGTGTCACCTGAAATGAGCTTATGGGCAGCTAGGGGAGAGCGTAGCCGAGTGCTCCATATAGCCAGGATATTCATTACCCTAGCCCTAACCTTTACACAAATGGGCCCGGCAATTCTCCTTTGTCTTCATTTTCTCCCTCCGAGTGGCGGCCTACCTGACTCCCCTCAGAACGGGTAGCTCTGCTGGTATGTCATCTTCTCCAGAGGTCTCTCAAGGTTTTGGCAACTTTCTACATTGATGGCGGCAATCACAGCACAGTTGATTTATCAGCCAAGCTGAAGAGCGAGAATCTCTTAAATCCCAAATGAACCCCTAGACCCCTAGACACGGAAAGGATCTAGGAGGATTGGATAGGTCTAAGCAATATGGTGACAATTTCACCTTGACTATCAAAGGGCAAGATGGAGATACTACCAATTTGCTTACACCCATTCAAGCCTCTCAGATCTACACACGTGCATAGGGGAGAGGGGATAGTTCAGATTAGGATAGGGAACTTAATGTTTACAAGCTTGATCTTAATTAAGTGTTTCCTATATCATTTACTGTAGCTATCCTTGCTATTTTCTTTACTAATTCAGGACTTCTGCCATTGAGAAAGCAGTTCAAATCAGTAAGATAAAAGACAAATTCAATCCTAACCTTCACAATGAAATTTCCAACACTATTTTACAATGGAGTAATGGACCGATTAAAGCACTATTCTCAAACTCTACAATTTAAAATAATTGCTAGCTCAAATCTTGCCAACAGGTAAACCTATAGGTTTACAACATCAATTCAACATTCTATTACAGTAATAGAGCAACTGATTATTAAGAGTTGCCATTTAGTAGATGCCAAACCAGTGAAAAATCTCAAGCAGAAATTATTATTAGAATGACCCTATGTTGGAAAATTCTAAGAGGGCTGATTTGAGTTTTCTTTGGCTGTTGGTGGTCTGTTTTCATTCAAAGACCTTCTCATGTCGGATACTGTCATTTGACACATGGACGCCAAGGTTAAATGGCATATCTTCAACAATCTGGCCCAAATGCCACTGATTGTTAAGAGTAGTAGAACATATATGCCATGTTTTAACAATTGAATTTCAGTGACCTCCTACAAATATGATTTACTCTAAAATAAAGACACTACATTGTTTACAATATATCTCTCTGTATGTTACAGATGTACCTCTTGAAACCTAAATGAATTATTCCACTCTCACTGGCACAGAATGGTTGAACAGATTTTTCGAAAAGGTCAGGAGAAGCATAGAGATGACTTAATTTGACACTTTGACCCCATGCTAAACGGAATGTCATTCCCGAAGTGTTGACTTAGAAATGCCACTGAACACATTGGTCAGAATACGTTTGAGGTGTGTGTGTGTGTGTGTGTGTGTGTGTGTGTGTTTGTTTCCAGCATGTTTTGACTTCAAATTATGCACACTACATTATCAGCAGACCCTGTTCAATTTATGAAGTTATACAATACAACACTGCTATTATCGTGTTATTACACGGTTGCAATTTCATGGTTGAGAGCATACTGTACTTACCCTACAAAGCACACTGAATGGAGCAGTCCCAGACAGATGGAAAGACTGCATCCTAT